TATTTTTAATAATAAATCAGCAGAATTATATCTACCAGACTAATATTAAATAATAAAATTATAATTATTAAAATATATATATATTATTAAGTCTAATAGCTGTTCAGTTTTAACTACTTTATAAAAGTCTAAAAATTTTAATAATCTAAAAAAATCTTAATAGTATATAATAGCTTTTTAAGATATTAATACTAATACTTAAATAAATAAATAATAATAAAAAACTTTTAATCTAGGATTAAATAATAAGTTTTAATATTATTAAATTTTTTTAACTAGAATATAATAGAATAGTATACTTTATAGTAGTTATCTGGCTAAAATAATATTTTTATTATTTTTTTTTAAAAAATATCTGTTTTTATCCGAATCTTCTGCTAAAAATTAAAATATTTTAATAAAGATATAATCTTAAAACTATAAAAAAGCTGTTAAAATACTACTGTTTTTTATTAGTTAATATTACTTTTCTAGACTTTTTCCCATTTTTAATATCTTTTAAAAAAGAAGTAAATAATAATATAATTAAAAAATAATTTTTAATAAAATATTAATAAAAATTATAAAATCTTAAGAATACTTAGATCTTATAGTATATAATTAGTATTAATTATATAAAAATATCGGATACCCGTCGGAAATCTATTAATATACTATATAAAAATAAAATATATTCTAGAAATTTAATATAATCTTAGTAGAAAATATACTTTAATAATTTAATATAAAGATCTGTTTTTTATAAATATTCCAATACTTAATATAAATAAAGAATATAAGAAGAACAGTTCTTTAAAAAAATAAGAATATTATTTAAATAAATAATATAAAAAACATCTAATATATTATAAAAAGCTAAATAGATATAGTTCTAAAATATAGCCGAAGTATTAATTAATTCAAATAATATAACTAGATATTTAAAATATTTATAATAAATTTAAAAAACTGTTTTCTATTTATCTTTTTATTTAATATAAATTTAATAGTATATATTCTAAATATTTAATTTTAAAAAATATTTAGCTTCCGTAATTCTGTCTAAAATCTTTAAAATTAAAAATAAAAAATAATAATTTTTAACTAAAATTTTATTAAATTTTTTATAATTTATATATAGTTGGAGGCCTTTATTTTTTTTTAATAAAAAAAAAATAAAAATTTTTATAGAATTTTTAGAAGATTAAATTTATTTTAATTAAATATTTTTATTAATATAGTAATAAAAAGATTAAAGCTTAATTTAAAATAAAAAATAAATAAATCTATATAGTAAAGTTTTATTATTTTTTTAATTAATAATATAGTTCTATAGTCCATAAAAAAAAAGCTATTAAAAAAAATATAAAAAAAAATATCTATAAAATTATAAAGTTTTAAAAATAATATAATTATATTATATTTGGTTTTAGAGTTATTTAATAAGATTTTATTTTTAAATAATTAAATATCTTCCGGAAGTTTTATTATAGTATTAATATAAGTAAGATTTTAGCAGACTTTTATAAACTTATAAAAAAATAAAATCTTTAATATTTAGATTTTATACTACTACTATTAATTTTATATAGATAAATAAATATATAAATTTTTTAAAATAATTATTAAAAATAGAATAGGATTTTTAAAAAAATCTAGATTATAATTAATAACTATATAATATCTTATAAATAATTATATAGTTTTTCTTAAATTAGTAGTAGTAATAGAAATTTTTTATATATTATAAATAATTATAGTAAAATAATTTATTATAGTAACTAATAAAACTATAAAATAGATTATATCTAAATAAAATTATTAAATAAATTAATAGCTAATAAAATTAATCTTAGTATATAAATCCAAGTTTATATAAGTTTTAAGTATATTTTTAAAATAAATAAATATATTAAAGCAAGTAATAGTTTCTATTTTAAATTAATTTATTAAAAATATAAAAACTTTTTTAACTATTATCTTTTTTTTATTAGTTCTAATTTAATCCTATTTTTTTTATAAAAATATTAGTTAGCTAAATAGTATTTACTATTATATTTATAATAATAAAAGATTTTTTCTTTTTAATTTCTTCTATTTTAAGAGAATTTTAATAAAAAAAGTTTATTATTAAACTATAAAAATCCAGATTCTCTAAAAATCTTATTTAAATAATATTTTTATTTTTTAAATCTTATTTTCTTTTTCAGTTTAATATATTCTAATAATAAATAGTAATAAATACTATTTCCTCTCGGAAATCCGATAATTTTAATATATATTTATAAATATATTAACTAAATTCCGGTTCTAACTTTAAAAAAAAATTAATATATATTTATTCTTTTATTTAGATTTAAAGTAATATTTTAAAATATTTAAATAAAAATAAAACTTTTTTAAATCTTATTTATTTTATTAATAGATTTATTTAAATTATTTTATTATATTAGACTGCAGAATAGCTGTATTTTAAATAAAAAAAAATTTATTAAATAAAATAATCCTATAATTTTTTAGTATTTTAGCAGTTTTTCGGGAATTTTTTATTAATATATTAATACTATTTCTACCGATAGATAAAGTCTAAATAATTAATTATAATTAGAATTTTTTAATTTTTTATATAATACTTCCGAAAAGTTTTTTTAAAAATATATTATAAATTATAAATCTATTCGGTTCTCTACTATAAATTAAATCGAAGAATAAAAATAAAAATTTTTTTAAGCTTAATTTTTTTTTTCTATTCGAAAAATAAAATAGAATTAGTATAATATTATTAAGATTCTATTAATAATTTAATATCTTTATATTCTGTTTATAAGACTTGAACTTGTTTTTTTAATTATTTTAACTATTTTAATTAATAAATAATAGTTTATACTTCTTAAATATCTATTTAAATTAAATAATTTATTTCTAGAATAAACAACATATCTTAAAATAATTTTAATAAGAATTTATTAGATAATATATTACTTTTTCTTAGATAACCAAAAAATAAAAAAATTAGGAATTATTAGAAACTACTTAATATAATAGACATACTAGTTAGGCAAGAAAAGTAATAGTAATATTATATTAAAATAACTAAAAATAAAAGCAGTCTTCTATTAATTTTAAGACTAATTTTTAAAAAATCTTCTTCTTTAAACAATTCTAGAATAATATATAATATAAAAAAAGAAGTAAGCAATATAATAATATAAATATCCGGATTAAAAGTCCGGCGAATCTATATCGACCCCGGAGCGGGCTGCTATAGTAGTAGATATGGGCTGCTATAGCAGTAGGTATTGTATAACAATAAATTAGAACTATTTACTATAGTATTACAAAAAGCCGCAGATATATTTTATTATATAGCAAATTATACTATACAGTCGATATCTAGTCTATAGCAGATATAATATATACTTAATAAAGCTAGTATATTTGCTCTAGTTAAAGATATCGGAGCCTGCTTAAAATAATAGTTCTTTTAGTTATCTGTTTAACCGTATATTATATATATTCTTTTTATCGCATCTCTGTATTAAAAATGATTTCTAGAAGTTTAGCAGTGTCTGCTGGTTTGACTACTTTACTATTTATAATAATCTCGCTCTTACTATAGACTAATTTGCGCTGTATTAGATGGATTAGCTTAGTTTTCTCTACTGCGAATAACGCGTCTGTTTTCCGCGTCTACTGTTTAATCTGTAGAATGTCCTCTTCTTGGATCTTTTTAATGTTGTTCTTAACCGAAGAACTGGTACGCCAGCGAAAGTAATCATTAATAAACGCTAATGCCCCGCTGTTGCTGTCTATCGGTTGATCCACCAGATCTGAATTATAGAATCCAAGAGGGGTTCCCGTTTCTGAGGGCTCGATTGGCTGTCGTCATCCCCCGCGGGTTTCTGACGGTCTGCCTCGTAACACGACCGTCGTGAATCCAACTGATTTATAAGCACATCAAAGACTTAGAGCTGCTCTGATGACTGGAAGCTTATAAGTTTCTTACCTCCAAGATTCTTTCTCTTTTGTTCCCTTTATACCATACGAATGCTAAGGAGGAGGCGGACGATGAATACAAAGGCCTATCCCAAAGGGCTTAGCGATATCTGACCCCTCAGTCAATTCGTCGATCCTATCAACGTGATTTAGCCCGCTTGGAGGGGAACGATTTGTAAATACATTAATAGCTGCAAGATCTGTATTGGATTTTTCTCCACTAATTGACATATTGCCGGCGCAATGACGCAATCGGAAGTCCAATAGAAACTATGCCCTCATGTTACAGCAAAATACCTACATGAATAGTGCTACGCTTATGAACATCAGCAACTTTGTAACAAGAAAGGTTTTGACTCTTTTTGATCGTTTCGGGCTTCAGACGAAAACTTAAGGTGGAATTTGATTTATGGCAGGAAAAGCCTCGAGTCTCACGAATTTGTCCGGTGAGTCGGGAGAGGTATTCGCTGCATCTGGGCACCCGTGGGAACCCTCCGGCAAATGTTCATCAATAAAGAGTAGAAAGCACCCGTAGGAGAGTTCACCTGAATGTTACGAAGCATCGGGCGTCAAAACCAAGCGTAGGTTATTCCGGTGTTATAGACTGTTATCCCCGGAAGCAGGCCCACTGGTCAGAGTGGATCGGATCGATAATAGTGGACAGACCCACCTTGGCCGACAGCCGGCGGAAGGAAGAAGTCAGAGTCCCATTCGCTATTAAAACGCGGCAGAATATCATTGCGGAATTAACGGGGGGATGAACGTTTGTGCCGACATCATCATAATTCCATCACCATCAGTGAATGACGTGGACTCGTTATCCGCGATGTGTTATATAGCCAGATAATTTCCATTTCGGAGTTTCTCTTTCTTCTCTTTCAAACGAGTTTTTTCCCCCCTTTTCCCAAAGAGTGTTTGCTCCAAGAGTGTCTGTTCAATTACCATGGTTCGAGTAACGATTGTCGGAGGCGCTGGCCGTAAGTACATGATAGACTTTCTATTTCAGTGTATTTGCTAACTATCTTATGATTCTAGGCGTTGGACGCGCAATTGTGGAAGAACTTGGAGCCCAGGGGAAGCATGAAGTCATTCTGTGGTCAAGGAGGGTATGTAGAAGAAGGCTGGCTTTTCAACCCGAGTTATTAAATAACTTTGTGCGCAGGATCCATCGGAGCTTAAGATCCCTGGAGTCAATACTCTCCAAGTAACGGACTACAGCCATGAAAATCTGGTGAATCTGCTCAAAGGAACTCATACAGTTCTCGCTTTCTTCAACCCTATGAGTGATCCTGGTAGCCAAAACCAGATCGCATTGATCGATGCGGCTGTGGCTGCGAATGTCACAAGGTTCGCCCCTAGCGAATGGGCGGGGTAAGAACAAACGAAGTCACTGCCTTCTCGTCTCATTGCTAACGTTTTGATATTATTTTCTAGCAAGGTCCGCTCAGGTATCAAAATGTATGATATGAAATTACCAGTACTTGACCACTTGGAGAACTTGAACAAAGACAAGACGGTCTGTGCCCTTTTCACCCCTTTCGCAGAAACTTTAAGTCTTTATTCTAATGAGGAATTCTGGGCTATAGGTTATCGAATGGGGTCTCTTCCAGCCCGGTTTGCTTATGGATTACCTTGCTCATCCTTGCCCTCCTTCCAAGCATTTCGACACGTTCCCTCTTCTGTTCGACCTGGAAAATGCTCGTGCTTGTTTGGTCGAAGACGGCTCAGCCCCACTCGTTTTTACAAGCTCTGCGGACGTTGCTAAGGTTGTGGCACGTGCTATCGACTACCCCGGTACTTGGACCGTTGACGGTGGAATTGTTGGCCAGAGAACCTCCTACAAAGAGGTTGTCCAGACGGCTGAAAAGATAACCGGTAAGAGAATGACTGTATCAGCCTTACAGAGCTAAGGAGGCTTCGCCACTTGATACTGATTTATGCTACAGGCCAAAAATTCACGATCTATACCCTTCGTCCGGAGGACCTGGAACGAGGAGATTTCATCTCGCCATGGGTCCCTGCTTATGCACCTAATTTGTCAGCCGAGACTATGAGAGACGTTGTAGTGCCTTTCATCAGTGGTTGGGCATTAGGCATTTACAGAGGGGTTGCTGATGTAAGCCCGGTGTGGAATGAGCGCTTCCCAGATCTTCACTACGAGACGGTGGAGGAGATGCTTCGCGGAGCCTGGGCGAGATTTCAGGCACAAAAGAAAGCGGAGCACTGAACCTGCGCACTCTTGATCAGAAAATCAACTACGGCCTGATTCATTTTGTTTTTGGGAAATCAGTACTAAAACCATTATATCTGAAAAATCCGCTGATCCAATGGATCCTAAATACTTAAGAAACTTTCATTTCAAGTATGCTCTACAAATTGACCGCATAAACTCTTGAGTAGGAATTTGCAACCCTAAAGCAGGTTCACTAAGTACAATGAGGGAACAGAGTGGAAAGCCCATGAACTTCGAGATTTCTCTCTTTTAGCTGTGGGCCGCCTTAGCTTACATTGGATTGTTTTTTACATGCCTGCCACCTGTTGTTATAAGAAGACTGATGGTTTTGGCTTGGGGCTCTCTTTACGTGCTCGTTCTGAACGAGACACTGCAAGTTCAAGAATATATTCCAATATATACAAATACTATCATACGAATGTACAAAGGTTAACGCCTTACTGTACCAGTTAGGGGGACTAGAACAGAAGCTAAGGGATGCATAAACGTGCAGCCCGTGTGCAATTGGATATTTATCTAATCTTCATGGTTTGTTCTGATTCTTAAGCTGTCGAGCAAAGCTGCAGAGCATGATTTATTTCATATAAATTCACCTAACCAACATTAATAATGCCCCTTTCCAGGTTCCTGCTAAACTCTGTGTATTTACCAAGACTATCTATGTTTCCGTATCTTGCCGAAAATGCCTCAGCCAAGACAATTCCGGTGGCAAGAAAGAAGAATCCCCCTTTGATTTGTCATGCTAGGAATATCCTGTCCACATATTTCGCTCTCTATATCCACAATGGCACTTTTTGATTCCTTCTTTGAATTTAATCTCCGCCGATACCTCCGCCGATACCTCCGTCGATTTCATGAGCTGATCGGATGCTCACCTAAGCGAACTATTCAATCGTAACATCTAATCTCCGGGAAAAATTGCAAAGCAGGAACCGACTTAAAAAACCTTATGTAGATAAATATAAATATTATAGACCTACGGACATCATTCATCACCTATTATTCTCTCACCTCAGTTCAATATCCTGTCATAAATATCCACCGGCATACAATGAGGAGCCTACTCTCCGTTCTACCATACCTGTTTATATCAGTGTCAGGGTTGGTAAGCGGTGACCAGCTTCGACCTCCCCCAGAAGTTGCAGTCAAAAATGGTACTCTTGTTGGAGTCCATAACCCGAAATACGGTCAAGACTTCTTCTTGGGCATCCCCTATGCACTACCCCCTGTCGGAGACCTGCGCTATCGTCATCCCCAAGCGGTCAATGAATCCTGGGCGGTGAAATCGGCAACAGAGTATGGGGCGTGGTGTCATTCTGCACCCCTCACTCTTCCAGGCTTCTCTCAAAAAGGCTTCTCTCACGCAGAGAATGAAGACTGTTTGACCCTTAATGTTGTTCGACCAAGTGGTGTCCATGACTTTCGCAAACTACCTGTACTGGTTTGGATTCACGGCGGTGGTCTCCAAGAAGGCGGCAGTGCTGATCAAAGATATAATATGTCTTCTGTGGTTCAAGAGTCTGTGCGAATGGGTACGCCGATTATTGGTGTTAGCTTCAACTATCGCCTCTCAGGTTTCGGATTCCTCACTGGTCGCGCTGTCAATGAATCGGGAATCGCAAATCTTGGTCTCTATGATCAACGGAAGGCTCTGTTCTGGATTCAAGAAAATATCGCAGCTTTCGGTGGTGACCCTTCACAGGTCACTATCTCTGGTGAATCTTCTGGCGGCATATCGGTTGGTCATCATTTCCTGGCCTTTGGCGGACGCGATGACGGCCTGTTCTCCGGTGGTATCGCGGAAAGTGGTGGCCCGCTCACGCCTAGCGCCCTTATTTCCCTCGACCAACAGGACGTGTTCTACGAGAAAGTCTTGAACCAGACCAACTGCACAGGAGCATCCGATACGATTGACTGCCTCCGTGCCATTCCTGCAGAGATATTAAAACTTGCTTTTCAGGGCGTCTCGTACTACCCTGTTGTAGACGGTGCTTTAATCGAAGGTTTATCTTCTACTGCTTTACAGGAAGGTCGGTTCGTGAAACGTCCGCTCCTCACCGGAAGTAACACGAACGAGGGCACTGCATTCTCTATTCCCGCTGGAATTGAAGTGAATAATGCCACGGATTTCTCCGTTTTCGCCGCCGCCTTCGACACAGGCCATGGTCTCACTCAGCAAACCATCAACGACTTGGCGACAATGTACATCCAAGGTCTGTCCAACCAAGAGGTACAGGCTGATCTTGGCTCGGTTTCCCCTTCCCCGGGTTCATCTTACGGATCTCTCTGGGGAAGAGCTACCCTTTATCTGGGAGACAGTATGTTCCATGCTGGCCGACGCTATGCGACCGAAATGTGGCGGAAGTACGGGGTCCCGTCATACAGTTACCGTTTCAACGCAGTACCGAACGGCATTGACCCTAAGCTCCTCGGCGCAACCCACTTCCAAGAGATTCCCTTTGTTTTCCGGAATTTTGATGGTGTAGGATACGTCACTAACCCGCTCTCCTCGGCTTCCTCTGCATCATCACACAAGTACGATGAGCTCGCCGTTCTCATGAGCCGTATGTGGATTAGCTTCGCCGTTAATAAGTCGCCAAATTCACACAAAGGTAAGCCGAACATTAAAATAGTACCCGTCTCCCTGAGGCAAAGGCTAATGAACACAGTTCCAAATTTCAAACTGACATGGCCGACCTACAACACTACGGCTAAAAACATGGTCTTTGGGTTGGAAGATACTCACTTGGAAGATGATACTTGGAGAAGCCAAGAAATTGGGCGTATCATCAGTGCTTTCGAGGAGTACAAGATCTAGGGTGAATCAAGGTCTCGTACTTTGGTTTCGCCGCTTCTGGACGGCGATTAACTGAATGGTACCCTTTGCTTCTCTTCTCCCTTCTCTAAATTCGTGACATTTACCTATTCACACAAGTTTATCTTCTATTGGCTGGTAACAGTTGACCAGCTCAGTATGTATATTTAGCCTTGTTGGAGATATGGCTTACTACAAAGAGCAAGTTTTCTCTGAGGGGCATGTACGTCTCTTAAGATTATTCTTCATTGTTCTGGAACTTTGATAGCTTAATATTCTTAATTTTTGATTTCATCACCAGAATTCCAGTTATGTATTGAGCACTCCATACTATCAATAAGAAAGAATTTTTTTGCTATATCTAATATGACCAATCATAAACACATATCTTAAACCAAGTGCTACACTATATTTAATTCTTAGTCAAGATTCTACAACGAAGTGGAGTGCTTATTACATCTCCCGGATAATGGATATGATTTAGGAGCGTTTACATGAAGAGCCACTACAGATAAGCTACAGTAGAATCCCAAAGACCATCTCCGCCAGTCTTCAACTTGCGCAAAGTCTTTCCAAACATGTATTCCAAACTAGTGTACTTCTACCACGGCAACTCCTTGCCATCATATTGATTCATCCCAGGGTTGTTCTCCCATCCAGGCACATGAACATTGAAAAATCGCCCGTTTCCTTCTCTCCCTGTCTTCCACAGGACGTCCAAAACAGCACCAACGCCAGTCGCCACTGGAAGATCGGCATTCTGGCTACCCAGGTCTGTTCTTAACCACTGATATCGAAAGCAGAGAGATCAGTCTATTGTCAGAGCTTCAATTTCGGAGACACGACTTACACCGGGACTGATACAGAAAACGGTAAATCCCTCCTTATCCAGTTCTTGGGAATAGGCGACTGTAAGCATGTTTAATGCCGCCTTTGTCACTTTGTATGATGGGACAAACGATTCTTTGTAGATAGGCTGCCTCGTGATGGAACCGAGACTAGTAGAGCTAGGGAGTATTGTGAGCTTTTCCATGGTGTTCGCTAATGAGATAGGAACTTACATGTTAAGAACTTTCTTGATTTCGCCGTCTCTCATAAGGGGCAAGAATGCTCTTGTAACATAATGAACTCCTGCGACATTGACGCGGAACGATTCTTCGAGGTCATCCCTAGGTGATGCACGCGTTAGTTTGAGTATAGGCGTGGAGGTAAAAGGCAGAATTAAAGAGTGGAAGATCCACGTACATCTGCTCAATGGGCCCATATTTCATAACCCCAGCGTTATTAATCAGCACATCCAATTTTTTTCCTTTAAGTGCAGTCTGAACGAGCTGCGAAGCATTCCGCACACTCTGTTCGTCCGTCACGTCAAGAGGGACGTAAACAATCCGACCGGGATGCTGCTGTAGAAGCTCGTCCAATTTGGGATTATTGGGGCTCCGGGCAGAGGCAAAGATGACACCAACCTCCTCCTTAGGCTTGTCCACCAGCTGTCGGACTAGCTCAAGACCGATGCCCCGCGAGGTACCAGTGATTAGGTAAGAGCTCATGCTTTTGATGCAAAGTGAATGATGCTTTAGTGACTGAAGGGAGCTGCCAGGAGATCGGTTACGGTTTAAATAAACAAATCCTATTAATGGTGTGGTTAGATCAAAAATAATGAACATGACGGCGGAGTCTGCGGAGTTAAAGCGATGATGAGCATTACTCATATGTGGAACTGTGGAACCCATATATGGACACTAAAGTTACGGCAGGTATTCAGCCCAGCTATTGCCGAGCTCCGGCGGAGACCCTTTGACTAATGAATAGTTCCCACCAGTGTGCGATGTTTGCATATATAGTCATACCTTAACGAAAGCATACCAATTTCCTGCTACAAAGTTACAGCGCTTCCAGCGCAAGTCCCGGAACTTGAACGGCCCCGAACATCGAACATCGAACATCGGACTGGACTGGACAAGCCCAAAGCAACCCCGAAATTCTGCCGGTTTTCTCCGCCGGCGGCCGGCTCACGGTGTCTCGAACTTTACGCGTTCGAAAGACCACGATGAACCTTTAGATATTCCATAATAAACCGGAGATAGGACATATAGAGTTTGTTTCTCCGGTAGTATTGTACGTCATAGTGACTGAAGCTCACCCCATTTTTAAACAATAAAAGGCTCATTTAGCGAGCACCAGCCTTGTCTTGTTCAAAGAACAACGGAAGCGAATTATAACACGAATAACCAAGACGACCTGTTACCATGCCTCCAGGAGCTCCGCCACCACCTCTGAAATCTGTTCTTCATCGGCATCGACAGCTGGCACCAAATGCCTCTATCCGAGTTTCCCCTCTGTGCCTTGGAACGATGAATTTCGGAGATGCTTGGAAGCAGCGAATGGGAGAGTGTTCCAAGGAGACTACTTTCCTGATTCTCGACCACTTCTTTGAGAAAGGGGGTAACTTCATTGATACCGCGAACGGCTATCAGAATGAGGAGTCAGAGATCTGGCTAGGGGATTGGTTGGCAACCCGACAGGTTAGAGACCAGATTGTTCTCGCAACAAAATATTCTGCAAGCTTCAAAGGCTACGAGCAGGATATTATCCAGTCAAACTACGGCGGGAATGGGACCAAATCTATGCGGCTTTCCTTGGAAGCCTCCCTGAAGAAAATGCAAACTGAATACGTCGACATCTTCTATGTCCATTGGTGGGATTATGCTACCACAATCCCCGAATTGATGCATGCTCTTAATGACTTGGTGTCTGCTGGCAAAGTCCTTTATCTCGGCATTTCTGACACTCCGGCCTGGGTGGTGGCGAAGGCCAATCAATATGCACGCGATCACGGCTTGCGACCCTTTGTGGTTTACCAGGGGATGTGGAATGCGTCTATGCGTGACATGGAACGGGAGATTCTCCCAATGTGTCGTGATGAGGGAATGGCTGTCTGTGCGTACGGGACTTTGGGCCAAGGACAGTTCCAGACTGAGGCCAACTTCCGTGAACGCGAGGAGACTCAGGCAGGCCGCAAAGGTAAACCTCCGACCCAAGCAGAGAAAGCCGTGTCGAAGGTTCTCGAGGCGATTGCGACCAAGAAAAGCACCCACATCACCAGTGTTGCGTTAGCCTACGTCATGCATAAAGCGCCTTATGTCTTCCCGATTGTTGGGGGGAGGAAGGTGGATCATCTTCAGGGTAACATCACTGCTTTGAGTATTGCACTTGACGGTCAGGAGATAGCACAAATCGAGACGTGCTACGATTTTGATCCCGGTTTTCCACATACTTTCTTAAGTGGATCTCTATTCACTGGGGAGAATCCATGGGCTGCCAAGAAGCCAGACGACGTTTGGTTGACGAAGCTGATGGGTAACTTCGACTGGGTCCAGCCGCAGAATCCCATTGGACCGCCATTTAACAATCATTGAAGGATGTGAGGTTCTGTCAATCTTACCTTGCTGAAATAAACGCTACGCGATTGACCCCAGTTTGGTTTTGGGTCGGTCTGAGACCCTTCATTATCTTGCTTCGGCTATTTAGTCCAGGAGTACGATGGAGACCATGTTCGATTCATGTATTTTATTCAGCAGGCCCAATAAACTTTTCGTACCTAAAAGCCCAGTGTGAGCATCGGTGTCATGTTGCTGCTGCACGTTAAAGTGACAATCAATCAATCAACACAATTAAACTGATGCAGCCTAAATAGTGGCGTAATAGCTATATGTCACGATATTCCTGACATGAGGTTATTCACATGGGTGCCTCAGGCTTCTAGCTGGCACATCGGCGGCCTTACGGCAGTTAACCGCTGGCACCCCGTTATCAGTACCCAGTGACCTTGTACAGGGAAGGTCCCTGTAGAGGTTACACCGAACCTCGTGTCGTATCCCACTTCCCCTCCATGATCAAGGATGAATCTCCTTCCTGTTTTGGACGATGAGACTGTATATAAATTGATCCATGTTGAAGAGTTTTTACATTCCTCAAGAAACAGTCTTTGACCTTCCTGAAGCAATTTGACTTGGTGCCTTTCTTCTACCTGATTGACAGGCCTTCTACCCTGCAAGTAGATAATACTTTTACACAAGCGAAATAGGCTTTTTGGCCTATACTTAGATATTTGTCCGACTTAGAGTTGAAAAAGCAACCTTTTAGGAAGGGGTTGAACTTTGACACAGGCAATGAGATAGAGGGTTGTACATTTTATAGGATGCTAAAGGCGGATCAGAGTCTCCCTTTTATATTTAAGAGATTACAAAGTCCGTGCGATACGTGATAGATTAATAACCCCGTTTGACTGCATTATCCTGAAAAGAGCTAGCCCATTCCCGTATTGATGCAATAGGTAGGAATACAGTCCTTTCGTTAAACGGAGGCACTTAGCTTCAAACATATATCTATCGAGAAGATAATCCTCCGCTTAACTGCCGTTTGGCGGGTCTTGGACCGCGTGTCCTTGTGTCTGAAGTTCCTGCACCGGATCCGGGCAATATCTGCGACTGCGTATATAATGCACATTAAAAGTATAGCGCTGGAATATTATTTAATATAGTAAGACTACTTTATACTAGTTATACTAAAGTAGATTTTTTTAAAGATAAATTATATAAAAATAGTATATAATATATCTAGTATTATAATATATCTGAAAGCGAATATGGTTAGAAAGCTTTTTATTTATAAAATATTAAAAATAAGTCTCTGGCTTTTTAGAATTTTAAGATATTTTTTAGTAGTATACAACGGCTTGTTAGCAATAAAAACAGATATTTTATATAAGTTAATAATATTTTAGATTTATTTTATATTTTGCGGCTGGTTTATAGAACTAGCTAATATAATAGATTTAAAAATATTCTACTTAAGCCGGTCTTTTAACAGATCTTTTTTTGAAATATTATAATATTATATAATAGCTGTAGTATTTATATCGCGCCGATTCTACTTATTCTTTAATAAGTTAGAGATTAGATAGAAAAAAAGATTCTGTACTAAATATAACTAAAAAAATATATATAATATTTTCTAAGATTAACTTATTTTTACTTTTTTTAAACTACTGTATTAAACAGCTGTATCTTAATATTCAGAAATATTTATTTTTTATTAAAATTTTCTTGGATTTGATATTACAAGCTTTTAGATAACTATTTTTAAATATTTCTTGTTTTTTTTAATTGCTGGATTTAAGGGAATAAAGCAGGCTGCTAAATCTTTTTATATTAAATATAAATTTTATTTAGATTATACCGGGTTTTTTTTAACTTGGAATAATTCTTAAGTTATGCTTTTTATTAATTAGTTAAATAATATAAATACTATATATTCTGCTAACAACTTTATTATATAACAGCTTATATTAATTTTATATCCAGGTTAAAGCTACAGATAACCCGGATTATATCAGTATTAATTTATAATAAATAATAATAGTTAAAAAAATCTAAAGACTAGCGTGCCTTATAACTAATATATATTATTTTTTGTTTAAGCTTTTATACTTCTTTTCTCTTTTTATTTTTTATTTTTTTAAAAACAGTGGGCCTATTATTTATAAGATTTATAATATTTATAATAATTTTTTTTAATTATCTGAATTACTTAATTAACCGACTAATACAAAAGTAGATATTTTAAAAAAAAAAGATTTTGTAAAACTTATATAATATATATGACAAGCTCCGAAAGTATTATTATTAAATTTATTAAATAAAAAATTATATTAATATAATAATTATTCTAGACCAGATATTAAAGCTTAAAAAGTTTAAAAAAAAAATATATAATTAGATAATAATATTAACTAGTATTAATATTTTTATTTATTAGAAGACCTACTGTAATCACCTTTTTATTTTTTATTAAAGAACTAGAGATTTTCTTTGGTTATAACTAATAATATTAATATTCAATATTTTTTTAATAGTTTTTAAAATATCTATTATTATCGCCGAAGTCGTCTTTATTCTAATATAATTAAAATAATTATATTTTGAATATATACTAGTTATTTTATTATAAAATAAAAAGTATTAAGATCTATTTAATAATCATAATCTAGATTTAATTATTTTTATATTTAAAAAGTGGAAAAGAATAAAATAATTATCATTTTTTATATTAATAAGAATAAGAATATAAAGAATTTTAAAAATAATCTAGAAAATAGATTATTATTAAAGTTAAAAACCTAGTTTTATTTAAATATTTAAATATTATATATACTTAGATAAAGATAGAAACCCGGTTTTTATAATTTTTATATTATTATAATTACCGTTTCGGACAGTATAAAAAATAATATAATATTATTAATATATCTATTTAATAATAAATATTATTTTTTATACTAGGTTCTATAAAGATTTTTTATAAAATATAATATATTTCTCAGATAAAATAGATAATATAGATTAATTAGATTAAGCAGGTTGGTTATATTAAATAAAATAATTAGATTAAATTGATTAATTAGATTAAGTAGATCAATTAGATTAAGCAGGTTATATAAATAAACTCAAACTTAATCATATTACTATACTATAATTTAAAATATATTATATTTTATATATTATTTATATAAAAAAATATATATAATATAAATTAATCTGCAGTTATTATTCTATCTATTATATTTAATCTTTCTAACCGGTAGATATAAACAGTTAAAATAATAAATATATTTTCATTTAATTTTAACTGTAAAATTAAAAGATTTTTATATCTTAATCTAACTGCCTGTTATACAATACCTCCCACTACAGCAGCCCATATCTACCACTATGGTAGCCCGCTCCGGGGTCGATACTGATTCGCCGGGCTTTTAATCCGGATGCCTATATTATTATGTTGCTTACCCCTTCTTTTTATATAATATATTATTCTAAAATCCTTTAAAAAAAGATTTCTTAACAATTAGTTTTAAAATTAATAAAAGACTATTTTTTAACTATTATACTTATCTTGCCTAACCAGTATGTCTACTATATTAAATAGTTCTTAATATTTTCTAATTTTTTTATTTTTTGGTTATCTAAGAAAAAGTAATATATTATTTAATAAATTCTTATTAAAATTATCTTAAGATACTTTGTCTGTTTTTAAATTATATTATCTAATTTAAATAGATATTTAAAAAGTATAAGCTACTATTTACTAATTAAAACAGTTAAAATAATTAAAAAAATAGATTTAAGTATTATAAATAGAATATAAAAATATTAAGTTGTTAGCAGAATCTTAATAATATTATATTAATTTTATTTTATTTTTCGAATAGAAAAAAAAAAGATTAAATTTAAAAAAATATTTATTTTTATTTTTTAATTTAGTCTATAGCAGAAAACTGAGTAGATTTATAATTTATAATATATTTTTAAAAAAACTTTTTAGAAGTATTTTATAAAAAATTAAAAATTTTTAATTATAATTAGCTATTTAGATTCTATCTATTAGTAGAAATAGTACTAATATATTAATAAAAAATCCTTAAAAAACCGCCGAAATACTAAAAAATTATAGGATTATTTTATTTAATCGACTTTTTTTTATTTAAAATATAGTTATTTTATAATTAGATATTATAAAACAGCTTAAACAGATCTATCAGCAAAATAAATAAAATCTAAAAGAATTTTATTTTTATTTAGATATTTTAAAATATTATTTTAAATTTAAATAAAAGAATAAATATATATTAATATTTTTTTAAAACTAATACTAGAATTTAATTAATATATTTATAAATATATACTAAAACTACCGGACTTCTAAGAGAAAATAGTATCTCTTATTATTTATTATTAGAAAATATTAAATTAAAAGAAAAAATAAAATTTAAAAAAATAAAAATACTATTTAAATAAAACTCTTAGAAAATCTAAATTTTTATAGTTTAATAATAAGTTTTTTCCGTTAAAATCTTTTTAAAATAAAAAAAAATTAGTAAAAAGAAATTTTTTATTATTATAAATATAATAATAAATACTATTTAGCCAATTAATATTTTTATAAAAATAAAAATAGAATCGAACTAGAACCGATAGAAAAAAAATAATAATTAAAAAAATCTTTATATTTTTAATAAACTGGTTTAAAATAGAGACTGTTATTTATTTTAATATATTTATTTGCTTTAAAAATATTCTTAAGATTTATATAGACTTAGATTTATATATTAAGATTAATTTTATTAGCTATTAATTTATATAATAATTTTATTTAAATATAGTCTATTTTATAGTTCTATTAGTTTTTATAATTAACTATCTTATTATAAATATCTATAGTATATAAAAAATTCCTATTACAGCTAATAATTTAAGGGGAATTATATAATTATTAATAAGATATTATATAGCTATTAATTTTAATCTAAATTTTTTAGAAAATCTAATTTTATTTTTAATAATTATTTTAAAAAATTTATAAATTTATTTATTTATATAGAATCAACAGTAGTAGTATAAAATCTAAATATTAAAGATTTTATTTTTTTAAAAATTTATAAAAACTTATTAAAATCTTATTTATATTTATACTATAATTAAACTTCTAGAGAAAATCTGGCTATTAAAAAATAAAATCTTCTTAAATTATTTATAAATTAGATATAATA